GTGGCATCGTCATCATCATCAGCACTTTCAATTAAAACATTTCGTTCGCGCTCAAAAGGAAATTATTGCTTTTGATTAAGTGACTGGATGCGAGTGTGGACCGGAGTGTGGTTCCATTTACATGCAAATCAAAGTGGGAGGGGCCGTAAAAGTTTATATTTGTCGATTGCTCTATCTCGGCCGAACTGACCAGCCCTAAAAATGCGGGCCGGCGAAAGGGGAGTGAATGAACGCGACAGCGTTAAAACAAATAAATGAACCAGTTTTTGAAAATAGCAATAAACTCGAAAGACATGGAATATGAAGTGGATATGGCTTAGATATGCAAAATCGCGAAATGTATATGTTCGACAATAAATATATATTTGCGCTCAAAATATTTGAAATATCAAAGCCACTTTCTTTACTTACTACAAACTTAAAAAAAAAATTTGCTTATACTAAATATTTCACAGAAATAAAATAAGAATCTATTGTTGTACTTTTATTGTACTGTTATAAACTATATATTTAATAAGATGTTTAGATAATTTTCCTTTAAAGACCTAATTTCCAATAATTGCCAAAGATAAATTATCTTACAGTTTTTCTCCCTGCTCATTATATTAAAATTCTTCTTTGTTCAATAAAGTCATCAGCGGAACATTTTTTAAGATTACATTTTTTCTAAAATGTCCAATTATTTTAAATAACCCTATGTGCAGCCTAGCCATTTGTCATTCATGACATATGTGCGTTTAACTGATAGCGGCTGCTTTTGATGTGACAGCAAAGGTCACGGGTCTCAGAGGTCTTATCAACTTACCATGTGATTCTCCGGACGATCGCACAGACTCCGCAGCAGTGGTTTCGGAGCTATCGATTGCCTCACTGGTATCCGCATCCAGCCAATCGTAGTCATCCGAATCCAGGCTTACGGATGATGGCCTTCGACCGTTTTTCTTGGGTCCGCCGGACAAATGACGATGATGATCCGCGGAGGCATTGCTCTTGTTGTTACGGCGGCGCACCTGTCGCTCCCCGGAATACTGGGGATCGTTCTTGGTGCTCTGGTTTTCCTCCAACTGGCGGACAGCACTCACCACCCCAAAAGGCAGAAGGAGCAGCAGAATTCCACAGCCACTCAGGCGCATTATTATAGTTGTTTTGTCCGGGTTTTTGCTCACTAATTTATGCACTGAGTTGATGGTATTTTATTCTGATTATGTCGAGTGCATTTTGTGCACACTGATAAGAAGTTGCGGCCAAAGGAAATGAGTGTGTCACAAGTCAAATGTTTCACTGGGTTCATCTACATGGCCAATGGGCATCCGTTCGATAAGCGTTCCCTTACGCACTTTACTTTACAATATATACAAACTGATTTTCCTGCACAGAAAAAAATATTAATGTTCGGGTGTTAATTTAAAAGCCGACAATTAAAATATAAAGTTGGTTAAGCAACAGATAATCTGTTTAATATGGCATAAACAGAATATCTAGAAACTCATTATTTATTTTTATTATAACCATTATTAAATTAAGTGATTTTAATTTCTGTAAGATTTTATTTTCAGGTAAAATTCATAATACATATTATTAAAATAACTGAAATTACTTATGTTGTTGTTTATTAACGAATTATTCCAGAAGGACATATTAATGAAAACATTTTTTAAGGCCCTCAAGGAATCCATGTAAAATGCTTTCTTTATAAATTTAAAAACATTTTAAAGTTTTCATTTTGCATAGTGTAAATGTTTATGGACAGTGGGGCTGCAATGCTCGTTACTAGATAGTGATTGAAAAAACACAGACAAAAATGAAAAACGATTAAATTTAATGGTCTGCCGCACAAGGGACTCTATTGATAGGGAGTTGAGCTATCTGTTGAAATATACATAAGCAAATGTAATACTGTTTACGCGGTGGCGAGTGTGGAAGCATTCGGAAGACGCCTCCGCCTTCGCCACTTGTCCACACGATGTCACACAGTAATTAAGCCAATTGACCTCGCTTGGCCGCCAGTTTGGCAAAGCGATTTAAACTCTGCACTGCGTGCTCCTCCTTTCCACAAAGGCAAAGTAGCAAAGGCAGTGGCAGGCGGCAACGGCGACAACATTTTATTAAAAGTGAAAAATATAAATAAATAATATCAAAAAGCGCCAGTCGAAGCGGCCGACAAAGTGACACAAACGGAGGGGGACCCACTAATGACGAGACTCGTTTCGGGTTGGTACTTCAAGAGCCTTCTTTTCCACCCTTTTCTTTTTTTTCGCCTAGTGTCCTTGTACTTTGCACTCGAAAAAAGCTAGCCTAATTTAAAATTCCTTAAATATTTGATTAGAAAACAATGTAGTTGGTATTGCAGGAATATCATTTAAAAATAAAAATAAAATTTTCCACCATTCTTTTGAATTTAAAACGGTATTCCATCTATTCAAATTATTAATTAATTGTATAAATTTTAAAATTCATAAAATATTTTTAATTAAAAATAACGGAGGTTTACCTAAAAACAGTGGTTATATTTTTCTGGTATTTCCGCCAAATTCATGATTTAAATAAAACATTAAATAAAACGTAATTCAATGGGTATAAAAAATGTTTGAAAGCTAGAGGAGCCCTTGGACCTGGAATTTCCTGAATATTTGGAAATTGTTTACTGAGCTAATCCTTTTTAATCCTTCCGATACCCAACATGTATTTAAAAGAACATTGTCAAGTTCCCAAAATGTCCACACAATTGTTTTGAGTGTGCGTCTGTGCTTGTGTCAAAGCGCATAGGAAAGCAGGCAGGCGACAGAGAAAGGGGGAGTGGCGCTGGGAGGGGCGGGAAAGTAAGTGGCGGGCGGTGGGTGGTGCCGGGCTATCAGCATTGAGTTGAGCGGTGACTGTGCTTTGATGTCTTTCTAATTGCATATTTTACAGCGCCAGGGAGTCGTCCTCGCACACCCGCGCATCCGCATCCGCAACCAGTGCAGCCCAGCCATCCTGCAAAAGGATAGCACTTTCGGCGAGAGTGGAAAGTAGAGCTATTTGCTGTGATGTGGATGCCCCTATGCCCCGAGCCTCCCTCTGGCCTTTCCCTCAAAGACGCCGTCATCCAAAGTGGACCAGGACCTGGTTGGTTTGTCAACTTCAGCGTCAACGTCAGACGAACACGAGTAGGAGGAACACAAAGGCTGAGACAAAAGCGGCATGTTCAAAAACTAGACAAATATTAACTCATATGCAGCTTGAGGTTGAGCGGAGAAGAAGAAGCCTTTGTCTTTGGCATTACAGTCCTACTTCCATAAGTACATTTCCTACAAAATCCCCCTTTCTGAGTTTATTTAAGGGCATTCGAAACGACTTAAATATTAATATACTATTCGAATTCACAAAATTCAACAAAAAACTTCATCTGTCAAAGATATTTTTATACCTTTTCTTTCAATTGGCAAATAAAAACATCCAATAGATCTTAAAAAGTATAATATCTTTCTATCTATAAGTTACATTTTGAATGACATTTCACTTCACAAAATTTTTAATTTCAATATTGTTTTGTTAAAATATGTTAAGTACTTCAAGTTTTTGGTCGTCACTGTGCATGTACGATTGTGGCATCAACTCCGTTTTGATTGCAATGGGAGAACAATATGCACCACACAGAAAATTGCGCCACTTTGCAAAAGGGATGCAAAAGGAGCCGCAAAGGACCTGCACAAATATATTCATCCCAATATCCACACACACACACACACTCACAGCGCCCAAATGCATCCCATAATCACTTGTCGTTTGATTTGTTTACCGGGTTCACTGAGCTTTCTCGTTGAGTTTCACACTTTGGTTTGGATTGTGCCCAAATAAATATTTCATTTTCTTTAGGCTGATTGTCATTGGTTTTAGATGTATAATAAGATTAAACACTTTCGCTTTTATTTAATTTATTTATTTCGGTTCGCGATCATAAGATGTGACGCGCGACATTTTTTACGTCCGCACGATCCGACAGTTGGAAACAGTGTGAGCACCGATGAGAACGTACATTGTGTTATAAGCGACTCTGTCAATATACTGAGAGAATTTTATTGAACTTTGGTATTAGCATGCATTCAAAGTAACAAATTAAAAGTAAATCAAGTTAATGTTTTATATAAACTTAAAGTTAAATTAAAGTATATATTTATTTCTCTGTATACATTGTTTATCATTTCTAATTAAGAAGGTTGGTGAATGTCGGACGTGACAAAATTGGTCAGGACAACCATAGAATCCACAGTTAGCCGAAATAGTATCGTTATTTTTTTTATTTTTTTAACAGTTTAATTTATTAAGGGGAGATTGTTAAAACACTTGTGTTATTTATCATAACTATAGATAATAATATTTAAATAAACCAGAATACCTAAGGGTAAACAAAATAATTTCACAATTTTTAAAACTACTTTCTTTTGTAATTGAAATTTTAATTTAAATTATGTGTGAATTGTCCAGATTGTTAAAATTTTAAATTAACTCAGAAATACTAGGAAATAACCTTTAAAAATGTAATTGGTCGTAATTTTTTTTCTCCTCATTCAGTATAAAAGGTTAATTTAACAAAAATAATGGAATTGTCAAAAAGTGTTGCTGGCCAAGTTGTATAATTTAACTACAATTAATGGAAATATGGTTAAAAAATTATAGAAATAAATATTTAATGCTAACACATAAAACAATAAATTCCATTTTTAAAAATACTATGAGTCAACTCATGGTCAAGTCTTTGGTAGTTTTTAGCCGAGTCAAAAACCTGGTCAATTTACTTTCGCGTTGCCAACTAATCTTAACTGCTTTACAAGCAGTGTTGCATGCAGGATGTGGCGTTTATCAACTGCTTGGAAATTTAAGCGCGAAATTCAAAATGTTAGGGCTTGCCTCTGTCGTTGTTGAATTAATAATGGTATTACAATTTTTAAGACCATTAGCCTAAATAAAGATTACATACATTATTTTTCCACCCTTTCACAACAAAACAAGCTCTCGCCATGTTCCCTTTGTTTTTAGTTATTTATTTACCGAATAATTTAATTTCACATACATTTAAGTTTACATATACATTTTCATTCATATTAATATAGGTTGTTATGTAGTTTGTAAGTGTTTCATGGTTTAGTTTTCAACAGTGTTCCCATTAGGCTACAATAAATAAACACTATAAGTAGGAAATATATTTGTATATGCAGTTTTGTACATTTCGCTTTGCTTTTCGGTGTTTCTTTTATTTGCATTCCGAGTGCTTATTTCATGTTCTTTGTATAGTTGTAAAGTAAGAATGTTTTGCCTAAATCGGAGGTATTTCAGCATTTATCCTGTTGTTCTGTTGTTTCGGTATATTTTCGTAATGTCAGCAATGTTGTTCTTGTGTTTCGACTGGCATAGGACAAATTGAAACAGTTATGTAGAAGGATTCGTTTAGAAAAACTTGTATAAGTATAGTGTATAATATATATTTATTTATATGCTGGCTCCTTAGAGTATGTATTTTTTTGTCTAGTTAACACGTGCAGTGCTATATATTTTTCAAGTCTTGTTTAAGTTTAAATTACACACATTCAGTTTTTGTATTCTGCAATATTTACTGGGATTAAATAGCATATTTTACACATATTATAAGGTCTGACATCCCGAATTTCATGCGACAACATCAAAATTACGCTCATAGAGTTATGTGAAAGAAATTGGCCAGCCCTCTTTGCATTGCCCTTTCCGTTTCCCTTTCCCTTTTCATAAATTCTTATTCTTCAGATGCCTCGGAATACTCGTTGTAAGTACATATAAAATAGGTTAAAGTGCTCGAGAAATGCTCTTTGGTGTTCCTTGATAGACGTACTCGGCTGGAAGGAATATTTGTGTTTAACTTAACAATTAGCATAGGTTCTTGCCACTTCTCGCTCTTTTTCTGCGGGCAAAACTGTCAAACAGTTGACGACAAACGCACACAGGATCGAATGGCAAAAGGACAACAGGACAACAGGACGATGGCAATTTGTCAACTGTCGCCGGCACAAAAGGGCGACTCCTTCCAAGGGGAGGTTCGGGTTCGAGCTCCCTGCATGATTGACGACCACTCACCTATACGAATTATTATTCCCGGTGCGGTGTATTCATAATTATTTAAGAAATGCACACTTGAATGCCCTCCTCGGGGAAATAGGAGAAAAAGGAGGCGGCGGGCTCCTCAAGTGTCTGCTGAAGTCGATGGAAATGTCAAAATGCACAACAAAAGCAAACCGTTAAACCAATTACCCTCAGAAACACGTAATGTTTCCGTGGGCATTTCTTCGAAGTTTCTGTCGTTGCGTAGGAACTTTTGATTGAGCTTCTTGGAGGGCTAGTTAGCTTCAGCACGTATATATTGTACATTCATTCATATTTATATATAGATGAGATTTTGATTTCGTAGGACATTATAAGCTTCGGACGGTAGGCCGCCTAAAATGCAATTTGAAAATTCACACAGACACGGTTACATTAGTAGTACACCTATATAGACGCAATGTGGGAGCAATTGGATGTGTTTGGGAACCCATTAACGGGTTATACGGCCTAGCGGATATAGTGCCACATGGCCGTAGGCTTGCGGGCATTGTTAATCATGTCGTGCCAGTGCTGGCACCCGGTTCCACTCTCCTGGGGTCCCAATCCGCAGCACCCGATTTCCGTGGCCTCGCTGCCGGCTCCCACCACATAGATCTGCGGAGATGATATATAAAAATGTAGAGTGGCGGCAGGGGGTTTCAATTAAAACACGGACGGGCATTAAACCGGGGCTATTGCCCGGAATTAGCAGCCGAGCTGTTAAAAACGGCGGAGGCCACCGGTTTATGGCCCAGTCCGGCCGAAAGCCAACGGCTAAAGGCTAAAGGTTACCTCGATGGCTGCATTGTGGAGATAATTTGATTGCAAATTAAACGTGAACGCCTCGTTCCAAATGGGATTGGTGGGATCGTCAGACTTCGTGATGCTAGTCTTCTTTTTCTTAATACGTTTACCATTTTGAATCAGGTAGATCTGAAACAAAAACGAATAGGTTAATTAAAACTTTGGCTTAATAAATATAAATATTTTTAAAGATTGCGAAACGTTGTTACTTAGTTTAAAGAAAAAAAACTGGCTTAAATATTATACTTGAAACTTTGTTATTGAATATTAGAAAACCAATTTGTTTGCTTTGCAAACCTAGGTTTCTTTAGTATAAGTTAAGTTCAGAATCTTAATAAAGTTAGTTAAATTAAATGTTAAAATAAACAATTGTATGTCAACTAATAATGCTTTCAAACAGGAAAAGCTTTCTCTTTAAATAACTATTTTTGCAGTTCAAATTATAAAATTCATTTCCACATTCTGAAGTAAATAAAAATTAAGTTATTGGAAAAAAATAAAATTTGTATTTATGTTTGATCTAATACATAATATTTTTTTTTTTTAAGGCAACAGTAAAATGAGTTTTTCAAACTTCACATTCTTAAAGGAATTGGATTTTACCTTGACATAAGGTTCCTGAAGAGTGTCCAAGTTCCTAGCCTTCATTATGACAACAGTCAACCGCTCAGCCTGTGGCAAATAGTTGAGGGAGCAAAGCAGCTCCGGTCGATCTTCCTTGGGTTTCTTGGTACGCAGCAAGTCTCCCCAGATCTGTAAACATGTTATTTATACTCGCTGTCTAATGAATTAAAAAAAATGGTTACCTCCACTGATTTGGAAAGATCCAGACCATCCACAGATATGCGAACCTCTCCGATTATGTCGTTGTGCGAATAGCGATCGTAGTCGAGCACCTGGAGGATCAGCTCCTTTCCTTGGAGCTGGTCGCGGGAAACCGGGAACTTGAAGTGTTGGTCAAAGTAAGGATTCGATTCACCCCGATGGATGTGCGTCTGTCGCTTCCGGCTGTCGACTTCCGGTTGCAGCATCAGCCGGACGTAAGGATCCCGGAAGCCACCCTCCTCAATGGGACTGAGATTGTGAGCTACGATGAAGGGGTTGAAGTGGGGTTAGTGGAACCTTTAGTTTAGTGTACTCTTTAAATTTAAAGTTATCAGGAACATTTATTTTTCAATTTGGCTAATTGTTATAGACTTTGTGGGAAGGCGTAAATGGAGTTTTGTTTATTTTTATATTTCACTTATTTGTGTACACTTTGTGGACATCGCAAATAACGATTATTTTCGGCTTTTGCTTTTACATACTATATATAACGTTATTGACTGAAAACAAGAAAGAAAGCAAACAAGAAAGGAAAGCTAGCTTCGGGCGGAGCCGATGTTGAAATACCCTTGCAGAATATTCTGTAAATTATATTCTCCAAAACTATTTATATGATGCATTCTTAATACTCATAAAAAATCCCAAATTCCTAACTTTAAAAAGACCAAATTTATGGCATTTCCAACAGTTCAGATATATGGCAGCTATAGGATATAGTAGGCTGATCATTATGAAATTTGATAGGTCGGATTGATAGGCCAAATATAAAACCCATAGAAAATCCCAACTTCCTAACTTAACAAACACCAAAGTTATGGCATATCCGATCAATCAGTTGTATGTCAGCTATAGGATATAGTCGGCCGATCCCGGCCGTTCCGACATATATACTGCGTGCAAAGGAAAGAAGGGTGTGTGCAAAGTTTCAATTCGATAGCTTTAAAACTGAGAGACTAGTTTGCGTAGAAACAGACAGACGGACAGAGTATTCTATAGGTTTTATATTTGGCTAATCAATCCGGCCTACCAAATGTCACAAGGATCGGCCGACTATATCCTATAGCCGCCATATAACTGATTAATCGGAAATGCCATAACTTTGGTGTTTGTTTAGTTAGGAAGTTGGGATTTTCTATGGGTTTTATTTTTGGCCAATCAATCCGACCTACCAAATTTCATTAGGATCGGCCGACTATATCCTATACCTGCCATATAACTGAACGATTGAAAATGACATAACTTTGGTGTTTTTAAAGTTAGGAAGTTTGGATTTTTATACCCTTGCAGAGGGTATTATAATTTCAGTCAAAAGTTTGCAACGCAGTGAAGGAGACATTTCCGCCCTATAAAGTATATATATTCTTGATCAGGATCACCTCCTGAGTTGATATAGCCATGTCCGTCTGTCCGTCCGTCCGTCCGTTTCTACGCAAACTAGTCCCTCAGTTCTAAAGCTATCTGCTTGAAACTTTCCCAAAAATTGTCTTTCTATTACAGGTAGTATATAAGTCGGAACGAGCCGGATCGGGCGACTATATCATATAGCTGCCATATAACTGAAGTATTGGAAATGTCATAACTTTGGTGTTTTTAAAGCTAGGAAGTTGGGACTTTTTATGAGTATTAAGAATACATCATATGAATAATTTTGGAGAATATAATTTACAGAATATTCTGCAATGGTATATCAACTTCAGCTCCGTCCGAAGTTAGCTTTCCTTTCTTGTTATACCCTTGCAGAGGGTATTATAATTTTGGTCAAAAGTGTGCAACGCAGTGAAGGAGACGTCTCCGACCCTATAAAGTATATATATTCTTGATCAGGATCACCTCCTGAGTTGATATAGCCATGTCCGTCTGTCCGTCTGTCCGTCTGTCCGTCTGTCCGTCTGTCTGTTTCTACGCAAACTAGTCTCTCAGTTTTAAAGCTATCGAATTGAAACTTTGCACACACCCTTCTTTCCTTTGCACGCAGTATATAAGTCGGAACGGCCGGGATCGGCCGACTATATCCTATAGCTGCCATATAACTGATTGATCGGAAATGCCATAACTTTCGTGTTTGTAAAGTTAGGAAGTTGAGATTTTCTATGGGTTTTATATTTGGCCAATCAATCCGACTCACCAAATTTCATAAGGATCGGCCGACTATATCCTATAGCTGCCATATAACTGATTGATCGGAAATGCCATAACTTTCGTGTTTGTAAAGTTAGGAAGTTGAGATTTTCTATGGGTTTTATATTTGGCCAATCAATCCGACCTACCAAATTTCATAAGGATCGGCCGACTATATCCTATAGCTGCCATATAACTGATTGATCGGAAATGCCATAACTTTCGTGTTTGTAAAGTTAGGAAGTTGGGATTTTCTATGGGTTTTATATTTGGCCAATCAATCCGACCTACCAAATTTCATAAGGATCGGCCGACTATATCCTATAGCTGCCATATAACTGATTGATCGGAAATGCCATAACTTTCGTGTTTGTAAAGTTAGGAAGTTGGGATTTTTTATGAGTATTAAGAATGCATTATATGAATAATTTTGGAGAATATAATTTACAGAGTATTCTGCAAGGGTATATCAACTTCGGCTCCGCCCGAAGTTAGCTTTCCTTTCTTGTTTTTCTTTGATATAGATATCCGAATTTAATTTAATTAAAACCGTAATTCAATAGTATTTAAATATTACCAAATCCAAAAAAAAAAATTAAAAACAACAAAGTTATACGTTTTTTTTCCGATTGTTCCTATGGGAGCTATATATATAGTCGCCTGATCCGGCTCGTACTACCTGTGATAGAAAGACAACTTTTGGGAAAATTTCAAGCAGATAGCTTTAAAATGGACGAACGGACGAACAGACGGACATAGCTAGATTTATATACTTTATAGGGTCGGAAATGTCTTTTGACTGAAATTATAATACCCTCTGGAAGGGTATAAAAACAGATTTCAACTTGGCATAGCTAAACCAGTCAACAGTCTGATTTAGGATATTTTTTCCCAACAAATAAGTTCATACTATCAGAATGCGTCGTATGGATCTGAAAGTCCGCTGTATGGAAAGAAGGGTTGTGGAGTTTAATATTTCCCCGACTATGCCGATGAAGAAGCTGATGGAGGCATATGCCGAATATTATAATCTCAACCTAAGAAACATATACTTCAAGGCACGCAGGCTTCGAATCCAAAACAGCGATACGGCGGTATTTTTGGGTCTTCGCAACGGCGATACTATTGAGGTCAGAACAAACTACTATCAATTTCCATCAATATAATAACAAAAATAGCATAGTTAATCCAATGTTAATAATTTTTTTGTTCGTAAAATATTTGTTCAAATAATCCCTGTTCGTTATTTATTGTTAAAAATAAAATTTCTTGTATTAGATTGTTTAAAAAGATAATAAGCCACACCATTTTTGTTAAACTTCCAAAATCTCTTTTATTTTAGAAGCAGCGATAGTTTTTATGTTTTATTGGACACAAAATGTTAAATGCATACCTTCAATCAGATGCACCGTCAGATCGAACAGGTGATAGTCGTACTTGACGCGCAGGTGCAATCGACCCACGGCGTGGCTGGATTCAGGAGCAGTCAAATAAACGGGTCCGTCCGGCAATCGGTATAGATCTGGTTGGAGGGCGCCCAGCGGGGAGGCCGGACCCATGGCGGGATCCACTCCGGGCTGCGATCGCGGCGGTATTAGCAGCGGGGAAAGGCAGCGACCTCCGGCCACGCCCACGCCCTTTCCCGAGCCACCGCCCCCCATTCCCGATCCTCCGGCTAAGGATGCCAAGCTGCTCTGCGAAGGACTGGGCGTCCTGAGATCCCCCGGATCCACCGAGTGGGCGGGACTGCCGCAGCGGGCGTCTAGGGAAATGGTGCGCATTGGACTGGGCGATCTGGCCAAATGGTGCGGAAAGGCCGGCTCACTCGGCAAAGAGCTGCGTCCGTCCGGTCCAAAGGTGCGAATCTGTGGTGAGGAGCCGCGATGACCCTGTGACATAAAATATCAGCCAAATGTTAATAGAAAAACTTATCAAATACGAAACCTAATACATTTTTCTTGAAGATCAGCTAACTATTATCTTTGCATTTCAGGTTTTCAAAGTAATTCCATTTTGTGAATTAACAAAGCATCAATATATAATATTTTTAAACCCGAATTTGAAACATTTTTATTTTTATTTTTATAAAAAATATGTTTAGCTTTTAAAAACATTTTCTTAGATTTAAACATACATATTTTATGGAGTATTTTTAAAACATTTACTTTTCCATGATATATTAGTGCTGAAAGCCAAAGGTTTTACGGTGTAGGTAAGACAATTTTATTTTCCCTTGCAGTCTACAGTGCTCTGTATTTTTAAACGAGTCTTAAAGAGTATTCATAAGGATATTTAATTGGATTGGTTATAGTATTAAAAGCCACATCTCCATTTTAAATTAACATGAAAAAGTATAAATTTGTGTTCCTGCGTGACTAGCTGGGTTGTCTGTTTCACTCACCGAATGCCTCGATGGGGCACTGTCCACGCTGCTCTGGCTGGAGATGGACGGCGTGCGCTGGAGTCGCGGCGGGAAGGAGCGGCTCTGGTGGTGCAAGTGGAGCGGACTGTGGAACACCTCGGCGGGTCCGCGCAAGATGTCCGTTCCGGTGGCGGAAACCGAGCCCATGTGGTGGTGGTTAAAGCCCATGCCGCCGTGCATTCCATGCAACTGGCTGGCCGGCTGGATGGGCTGGCATTCCTTGGCAATGGCCACCTCCTGCGGGGAATTCGATAGGAGATATATATTAATGATTTTCCCGCAAAGAAATCCCCTTCTGAGATAAAAACCTCCGAGTCCGTGGGCAAATCACAGCTATCGCTGACACTACCGGCCGAAACGCTGCCTATTCCGCTGGTGGTCGAGGTGACCGACGAAGCCGACGGCGGCGGGGTCATGGGTTGCGGTGGGGGGTCGTGGACCCCTCCCCTGTCGGCAGGACGTGCACCGCCGACGCCCCGTTCCCCCAGCAGCGGTGGAGCCACCGCTCCCACCCGGCGATCCCTCATCCGCCGAGTTCCGATCGAGGGTTACTCGACGCACTGCGCCCACTCGCTCCTTGGCCATCCGCGACCAGGACTCGATGCGCTTGTGGGCCAGCCAACAGGCTGCCGGACCCAGACCGCTCATCTCTTCCTAATTGCCCAGCGACTGTGGTCGAGGGAGCTTCCCTGCGGAATAAAAGGGGTTTTGTTGCTTGGCTGCCTTGAATATTTGCGGGAAAGGAACCGCTGCTTCGCTGTTTTTAGCCTTATTACACTCGAAGAAAAAAAAACACAGTGCGAGCCCTCTACCCTTTTTTTTTGGCCACACAACTCAGATTTGCATAGGGCATACTTGTTTTCAAGTAATTTAATTTAAAGTTTTCTTTCCAATAGCAAATTTATAAACTATAAAAAAACATTGTAAAGATGAGGGGTTAACAAAATTTCTAAAATGTATTCTAGAAAATGAACGTGTAAGCTAAATATTTAAAAAAATAATATCTTTATTTAATAAACCCAGTATTACCCATATGAAATTCTGACCTTTTGCTATAATAGCACCTACAAGAATACTTTCATAGCCATTTCCGTAATATGGAAAACATTTTGATTTTAAAATAAGCTTTTATCTAGTATTTAATTTTGCTCTAGAAATTGAAATTTTGCAAGCCTATAGTAAATTATTGCGAGTGCAGTCGCACATTTGGTCACTGTTAATCCGCTTAGGCAAACTCACTCACATGCCATCAGATTCCTCAACCACCAAATAGGAAATGGAACAGGATGTGATGCCCTGCACAAGTGCGGTTTCAGGTTGGAAGCCACGAGATCACATTAAATATGCCCATGTAGGTCATGATGCAACATTTTGGCAAACCATCGCATCGATGTTAACTATCCGCATAAGAGAGTCCTTCAGTTTGACCTTTCTAGATGACTAGGACTAGTTTCTGGCAAGAAGCTATTCATTTTAAATGTTAATTTTTTAATATTTTTAGCCGTTTTCAAGGTTTTGAAACGAGAAACCCGGATGCAACCCCAGATGACGCCCTGACCTTCCAATTTCTGGCAATCAACCCCTTGCGACTCCCACTCAAAATCGTTTTTGTTAAACGCTTTGCGGGTGAATAGCAGCGAGGATAGCCAAAAGTTCTCCAATCTCTGCCCCACCTTCTCTTTTATTGGGAAACTGAATGGCAGGTGGCAGATGGAGATCCTTAGGGGCATAACCATGGAAACTGCACTAACGAACAAAGTGCGTCAGAGTGGTGGCAGCCCGCTAATCAGTCAGTTAACTAGTTCTGCCAGGCAGCACAATGTGTCCAAAGCGGATAATGCCCAATTCACCGAAAGGAACAATTACATAAAAAGAGTGAAAGGTGAAAGCAAAGCCGTTCTTAAAAGCATCCATCAACATTTTAGTTTCTACTATCTAGTAAGGAGGTCCAAGTGTGTGAAACCTGATAATAACAAATTGGATTTATATGAACGAAGCCGTTTGTAAAAATATACTTGAGTGCTACTCGACAATGCCGATTACCGTGCTGACAAAATTGATTTTGTTTTACATTCTTTAAAACAAGAGTAACCAATAAGGACCCCGATGATAATTAGTAAATTAATTTTAATTATTTAAAGCTCTAAATTAATTGTTTAACAAAATGAAAACAAAAGAAGCTGGTCCTTTCTAAATCAACATTGCTAGCTATAATTAAGTAGAACTCTAAATGAATCCACCAACAAAATTATTTTTTAGTAAAAAGGAAATTAAAATTTTTTATTTTATTAAAGTTTTAAGTAGATTCCTAAGCAATGGCGAATTCTTTAGAATAAGATGATAGTGAAGTTGCAAGTCGGAATTCAGTTCAAAATTGTAAGCTTAATAAATATTGTTAAAGTTTGTCATTAGTACTTGACAAACTACTTTCGTTAAAGCTAGACATAAAACCTACTTTAAGTAACTTTGAACACATTTTACCTCTAAGGTTTCATTTATAAATCTTTCATTTGAGAAGGCCAGGAGGCTCGACTTGAAAACATGGTCAAAATAGTGGCAGCTGCTGATGCTAATGAAAGTTTTATTTTAACTGCTTCCTGCTGCGTTTGCAAACTTCTGGTTAATATTAGACAGCCGTCTACAAGCCCATAAATATGCAGAGGAGGCTATTCCTCGGTCTCATCGCCCGACATCATGAATATGCAGACGAGGCATTCTCCGGCGAACCTCGCAATTCCCCAGCGGTCGATTTGTCTTGCAGTCCGCAGTCTGCCGTCCGCATTTCGATTCCGCCTTTTGCATTCCATTCCACTCCCAGAATTTTCACGTTTTTCGTTACGCAGCGTGCCGAATGGCGAAATGCGAATTCATTGGCATTTGTACACGCCCAAGTGCCGTAAAATAGTTGGGAATACAGGGATAGAGTACCCAATGTCGGGGAACTCGCACCGGGAAGAACCGTCGCGAGGGGTTGGGCAATACAAAAGTAAACAAAAAACTTATTTTTCAAGTATTAAATAAATTAAATGAAATTAAGCACGTGTAGCGAATGACATCAAAACATGGCAACGACCCTAGAGTAAGGGAGAGGGCTGCAGAGTGCGACAGAGAAGGAGAGCAGGAGGGGAGGAGGCGAAAGCAAGGACCAACCCTCAAATTAGTTTGGGATAATAAAACTGTGCTCGGTCAAAGAAAAATGTTGTCCAAGTCTTTGTCGCACACTGACAGCCCGAGTCCCTAATGTCCTTGTGTGCGGTGTGTCCTAGATCTAGTAAAAGGATTTTTATTGATTTCGTAATATTACTCTGAGTTATTCATCACTTTCATTGCTCTGTCTGTCGCCGATTTGGCTACTTATTTTTGAGGGGAAGTAGCACACATATGCACAGCTGTTGAAAAACACAATCTTATGTTTATTTTTAGAATACCATGGGCTGGAATAACTAGATACTAAATAAACTGTGGTAAAATAGGATAAACAATTAACCTCTATAGAATGTAACATTTTCTATTGCTTACTTATCAAAGAATTTAGTTTTTTATTAAACTTTTTATACTTTCACGAGTCATATGTACTTTTGCATAATATTTGGATGCTTCTGAGAAAAAAGCCTAAACTAACTTATGTTCCCTAGCTGTTTCATAGCTTACAAAAGATATTTCGATGATTGGCGACATTTTAAATTAACAAGCTTATATAATTTTAATAACCAAATTGTTGTTTGCCGAAACACACTCTCAATAAACTACCGCATTTTAAAATAAATTCTCCGGCTTTAACCATTAAAATTTAAATAAATTATAATCTCAGAACATTTCATTAAATAAGTCCCCTTATATCCAAATTAAAATCCGTTTAAAAACACTACGTTGTCTTATAAATTTGTTAGGGAGGGGTTTTTATAATTATGAGTCGAGTACAAAACTTAACAACATATATTTATTGTTATTAATCTTCAATTTCAAGGAGTTTCTGTTAAAAGCTACATCAAAAAAATTAGGTAGTGGGGCACATAATTGGAGACCAAGCTAATAAATGTTTAAAAAGGAAACCAATATGATTGTAAGGGTTGGATGCCTCAAACTCAGAACTATGGATGTTGCCCGATAATTGAGCATAACATTAAAACTTCCCTTTAAGGTATGTGTGCTACAATTAGTTTCACTTCCCCTTTAACGTATCCTACTATTAGAGAACTAAGTAGAGTGTTAGTTGAATTAATATCTGCTTAAAATGTGTCACACGGACTTTTATAAAAGTAGGTTTTTGAAGAATAAAATAAACAACTATTTTCACCCATAAACGACAACATAAACTAGTAATTTGGGTGTCAATTTCTGAGCTCTAAAGTGTGCATACTAATCCCCCTTTGATCCCCTCGAGTGTCAACCAAGTGTGTTGCACAACGCCGGGAATTTAAGGGCGAGAACTGCAAAAACATCAACGATAATTCCATTGAAATGCAGCCAACCGCACCGTTGCTAATTGACACCTATGTAAACTGCAATCAAAGCGACAAACAGCCAAGCCCACAGATTTCGCATTTATCACCCCATATAAATAGAAAACGAGCGAAAAATTCAGGGGAAAATACCCCAAAAAAAATGAAAACTAAATCGGGGGGTGGATGGAATCTCTAACGCAAAGGCAGCCGCATCAATTTCAGAAAAAGGTGCTGCATGTGGCAAATGCAACACATCATCGTCGTATCAATGAGCCTGATTTCAACCCTCAGGACATTCGAGTAGATAAATATAAAATTGAAATTTTCTAGCTTGTTTGATATTGCTGAAGGATTGATTAATGGGATTTTCTTGGCAAAAGCCCTCCTCGCCTAACTCCCCTTCTTCTACCTTTGTGCTAGAGCATTTCCACTTCGTTGTGCTATATTGCACTGAACTTTCAACTTTTCTCTTTCCCATTTCCTCTTCTGGTGGATATTTTTCCTTGAAGCTCTTGTTGGATTTTTCTGCTTTTGACTGCCAGCTATGAGTTTGCACACTAAGTGCTAAAACATTGGCTCCCAACGTTAAAGTGAAGTATGTATGTATGTGAACTTGGGCACATGAGTATATATAAACACGATAATGCTCTCAGCCAGCTCAGCTCAGACAATTCTGACACACTTCAAAGATGTTTCTTTAAACTAAAGATTGCACATAACATCCATGAGATACTTATGGACTTATAACGATGAACACATAGACATATGCAATGAAAGAGCATTGAATGTATAACGCTTTAAATATTAACTGATTTTTATTAAAGAGCTTTAGACAGCCAAGGGCCACGCAATTGTTTTATTTTTGTTGGTTAGAAAAGGTTAAGAAAAAAGGCCTTGTTAAGAACTATTTGGTTGTAAATTGTAAACTAAAAATGAAATTTACAAATTGCATACTAAAAAATTGGCTTAATTGATTTTCTTAGTATTATTGCATTTGTGTATACGGTTCGGAAATGAAGTTAATAAATTAACGATAAATATTATATAATTTAATAGTTAGGTCTTTAGTTTATTATTGATTTTAATCTTTGTTTTATTCTATTTCAACTGATTGGTTTCGTTAGATTATTTTATAAGGAAATTGTTATTACTCTTTTACATGAATTTTAGAAAAAAATATTGAAGACGTATCGTGCTATTTTTTTATCATTTAACTCTTTTTCTACCACGATTTATGTATGGAAAAATGGGTGAAAAATTAATCTGAATCCTGTTGAACTTTTTCGATTAAAGCGTTTGTATTTCGGTGAGCGAGTTCCTCGTAATCCTGCTGCATTCTAATTAGTTGCTCAAAGTCATTACAAACTTGTTGCCGCAGGAAGCAAAAGGGGGTGTTTGTAGTGTTCTTGGCATGTGGAAACTTTAATGGAAAACTTTCGATTAGCAGGCTGCGATAGTTTTGCTCAATCTTTTATTCTCGATTCTATCAGTAAGTTTATGTAGTTTCCAAATTGTTTAGTAATTCTACAAAAAATTCTGTAATGGCTGCCCGTCTGCTGAGTATCTTCAAATTGAGCGAGCACATCCTGCCCAGACGCAAGTTTGCCCATCAATCACTGTATTTTGCGAGGGGAATGGCTAAGAGAAAGGACCAAAGTCAAAACACCGAGAAAGGCAAGAAAACCTGTGCAAAGAATCAATTTTTTGGCGGATGCTTCAAGAGTGGGTAATCTTTAAAAAGATTTTAGTATTTACAGTTTAGCAATACTTTTAGAGTCGGAGCCTTTTAGAAGGGAGAACAAGAAGGAGAAAGGCAAACGCTGCCGAGATCCCTGCACAGATGGACCTTGCCGCCCTGAGAAATAGACGATTTTCCCCTCTTTAAAAATGGCCAATAGTTACAGTCTTTAGATAACCTTCAATAGTTTAAATTTGCATATGTTCACCAAAGTTATCTTCCGCTATGAAAATAATAATCTGTACACGCTTAAAATTCTAAGAAATTCTCGACGTAAATTAATTGAATTTCATCTGGATTGAAAAAAAACAAGTTTAATACAAGTTAATCGTAAAATTAATTAAAATGTCTCTTCAAAATTAATTAAAAGGGATACCCTATTCTCTTTTTAAGTCCGTCCAAATCATCATTACCTTAACTATCAATTAATTTTCAATTATAACTTTTAAAGTTATTTTAATTTTTTAAACGTTAGTTTTCATTAATTATTGGTTGGATAAACCAGTCTCTAATTCTAATTTAATTATTAAATTAAAATTATAAAAATTTTTAAATAAAAGTATATAATTTATATTTTGAATAAGTTAAAAAAAAAGGATACTTATTACAGAGGACCCATGCTATCCTGTTATATAGTACAAGCGATTTTGTTATAAAAAAAACTGTAAGGAAAAACCAATCCTCGGCTTAAAGTTTAATTTCCACTTAATCTTTTTGCCGCACTCCGCGTACACATATTACACTTTACATATGTGCGGTTACCTATCTGCATTTGAAGCCCCTGTGCTCGGCGAAATGTATGCGGGCAGATGTGTGTGTCATAATCGCAAACAAAGGATACGTGAGGTTGTCCGGTGAAAAACGCTCAGCATCTGTTGACACCTGAATAGGAGGAGGTGTCTCTGGCCCCGTCCCCGCCCCCGCCGCCCAACGATTTCGTAAGCCCCCTTTTTGGCTGTCAGTGGCAGACAGCGCCCGTGGCCGTGCCCCCCAAAGCTGCCATTGTGGTGCATACATTTTAATCCTATTAGCACAATAGTTACTGTTATTCCATATTGCAGTAATTTTTCTAGATTGCTCTCCCTGCCACGGACACGCCAACAGGAACGCCTGTCACTCCACCCCACCGACGTCCTTGAGCTTGACCACCAGCCCCATCCCCCTTTTAAGCCAAGGCTAAGCCCAGCCCACTCCTCTGGGGAAAATGGGAAATGGGGAAATGGAAATTGTCATCGCCGTTATTGTTGTTTCAGTTTCTGTTTAAGCTGCCTTTTTATTGTATGCACAAATATCCTGCGGTGTTGGCTGCTCTGGATGAATGGACAGGACACTTAGGTGTGGTCCTGCAGTCTTCGAATTGCTCGGCGCTGAAAGCTATTCTGCGTGTTTCGTGCAGGTGCCAAAGGCTTCAGCTGCTAAAATGTGGGCAAAATCGGGGCCAAAGTGGCAACGGTCGGTCAGTGAAAGGCGGTGACGAGATGGCAAGGCTTTGGCTCGCAATGAAAAAGGTTTTCGCATTCCTGAGTAGAGATTTACTGGGGCTCATTTGAATTCCAAAGTGAGTGAAGAAGGAGCAGGTTAAGTGCTTCCATAAAGTTGAAATAAACCAAGTTGGAATATGAGTTTTGTTTGGAAGTTCTACAAGTTCTACAAGGCTAAGAAAAATACTTTTTTTTAATTATATAAATGATGGTATCTTCTAGGTAATTGTTCAAAAATTATTGTCTTAATATAAACATAGTCAAGGCCACTATAACTTTAGATCATTAGAAAACTTTTGTTTTTTTTTATCCTCATACCTCGTAAATTGCGCTTGCTTACACGAAAAATAGATTCGTTTAAACAACCATAATTAATGACCAATTTCAAGTTTTCAAAAACTATTTACTACCTTTAAAATTTGTCCAAAAACCCGTTCTTGAGATAATATAACAAGTGGATAGCTTTTGTGTTATAGGTAAAAGTATTTTTAGTCAAATTAAAAGGGCTTAACCAAAAAAATATATAAATATAGGATCATAAAACGTAAAACCTTAATTCAGACCGTAAAAAATATTACTACGGTTCTTTGGATAATTTATTGAGTAAGATCTTCAGTTTAAGGGATATTAAATTATTTTGAGTTCAGAAAACCAAAACCAGCAAACTAGTGTTAATTATCTACTCAGAGAATCTGTTTATTACACATATATGTATTAATTACTAACTAAAGTGTGCCTAACTTAATCATTTAATTGCAATTACTATAATAACAGTAGACTGAATAGTAGAAGGTATCTATAAAATTGTTAACCATCAAGAGCTATCAAGAGAGAGAGAGAGTAGTTTTGGAACTAGTTAATATTCACTTTTGCCGGTGAACTTTCAATATAATATTGGCCTCCAACAAGCTATCACTCCATTTAAATGCTAATTTATTTAGTTTAAACTTTTCCAACTGCCATGCCTTTAGGGCAAACTTTACAAAACGTTAGTGGAAACTACTGACAAACTCATTAGGACCTCAGACCCAGCCCAACGCCAGGCTAATCCTTTGGCCAAAAAAAGGACAATTAACAATCAAATTAGGTATGCACGTCGACATTATTGTAGTTTGGACAAAAGCCAAACAATTGGCCGGGATAACTTTTGACACACGTCGTCTAAGCCGTAATCTGAGCCGGGCCGAAAGGAGGAGTCGGGAACGGAATCCGGAGTCCGGAATTAGGAACAAGCGAACAGCGGCAGACAAATGAACGGCAAACATACGCACAATAAGATTTCCGCTGCATAAGTCTTTTGTAATCTCATTTAAATAATTGCGACCAACAACAGTGGAAAAGCGAGCGAGATGGCACAAAACCAAATCCGCAAATCTCTGCTTCTAGCTGGACGGACAGACAATTGAACGTGGCCGGAAATTAAAATGTAAAACAGCAGCTCATTATACGCTCACCTACACACACTCACAAAAGGGACAGAGTGGGCCGTAGAAATGGAAAGAGACGGCGAAAGGCGAAGGACTCTCTGCCAGGACTCACTTAAACTGCAAAACGGTAATTCATCTTGCACTTTTTGTGGCTTTAAGGAAATTGGGTTGCTCGGTTTTACTCCTTCCGTGCGTGCACTTTATGATCCTGCCACACAATTTGTGCTGCCTGTTATTGCCCGACAGTTATGGAGGTTATATTGCGGAAGGAAACTAACATGCCAACTTTGTACCCCGGCCTTGATGCACTTTACTGGTTCCCCTGCCTCCGCAGAATAAAACTACACTTTATTGCAACAGCTAAAAAGCGGACGGCACGATATTGAGTGAGCACGATATGTCTTGGATTTGAATCTTGTTCGGTGACGCAGTTTTTAACAATTTTTTAAATCGGCTGTCCGATGCAACATATGGTCTTCGACAAAAAAATTGCAGTATGAACCTTTATTTTAATTATATAAAAATAAGAGACATATATTACAAAAGAGCCAAAACAGACAAGTCAAATTAAAACAAAACATTATTCAAGGGTTCCAATAATGAGAATTTGATTAATTTTTAATTTGTAAATTTGTTACATGGTCCCAAGCTGCTGTTGGAAACTTCTTAAAGAGTTTAAAATCTATATCACAGAAATGACAAACAAGTTTTTTCTAAACAAGCCTTATCTTTAAAGATATTTTCAAGATTCAAATAATAAATACGGAGGGTATAGGTAGCTAAACAACAATTTTTTTGGATGATATTTAACAGCTTCATTTGATTGAATTAGAAGTTCATGAGCTAAGATAAATAGTGAAATTCTTAATATCTTAAATCAAATATTAATGTCGAAAGATCCAGTATGAATTCCTCATGAAAGATGTTTGATTTTTGTAAAAAATAATACATTTCTACCTTATTCAAACACTCCGGATGCAATTTGAAGAATTATAAAAAAACTGAATATTTAACCCATCTGTATTTTTGTTATTTAAATTTCTAGATTCATTCATAAGGCTCGCTTTACAGCCTAACAAAAACTTTATCGTAGCTCACACAATTCGCCATTAAAAAGTTAAAGTTATGCATTACCAGCAGTCACATAAACCGATATAGTAAGCCATAAAAGCTAAATGGAGAATAAAATAGTTTTGCAATAGCCGACGGGTTGCAACAAGTGCTGCGAGCATTAAAGAACAAATGGGGAGGGATTTTCAACAGTTTTGAGCACATACTCTTGAAGAAAATCGGTGGGAAATGGCGCAGTTATTGTGTGGCGAGAAAAACCCTGATGCAACACTTGTCCTGGTAGGGGAAACTGCCGATGATAATCCGCTCATCAAACGTCAATACAGCTCTCATCGCTCCTGGAGGAAGGGTGTGCTCCGAGCCCGGATGCCTGTCTGTCAACTTGTTTACAAAGGCGAGATGCGAACGAGTCCTGCCGCAGTCCTTGTGGGGATACCCGGCGCAGAGACAGGACCTCGTCATCCGTAGCCACCCGGAGGCAAGAAACTAATCACCAATACAATGGAAATTGTGCGGCTGCAGTGCATCGATTGCATTTAGCGGTGGCAGCTTTTCCTGGTCTCCTTTCCTTAGCCATTATACTCGGATCCCTGGTAAATAACCCTGCGGCCACACGCAGTGGCTTACGAATGGGTTTGCCGGAATGTGTTTAATGCTATTTGCCCTATTCTCTAAAAAGTTTTTTGTGAAGCTATTATTTGGTTGCAGTCGCATTAATGGGATATTTTCCACAAACATTTTTTTTAAGATCTCTGAGTTCATTGAGAGCTGGATTATTCGGTTTTGTGAAGGGAGCCACTTGATGGGATTCCAGTACAAGAGGTTTCTAAGACAGGTTTTGAAATTATATTCTACTAATTTTCATCGTTCATAGCTTAATCTATAGAAATCATGTAAATGCTTATAGCTTTTTTTCATTTCTATGTTCTGTTCTCTTTGAGAATATAGTAACTATCATGTATTTATTAATTTGCCGAATGCTGAAAGTGATTTATTATTTGCAAGACTCACAAATTTTTTCCAAGTTAAATATTTAATGGATTTCTAAAGAAAACATACAAATTTATATCCAAAAAAGTGTTGGTGGATAATTGTTTATTTATTTAACACATGTGAATATGTAGACTTTTCTTTTGTATACTTTAAATTTGCATGGTCATTTGTCAATATTCTTTTGTAATAACACAGTACAAGTTTTAACTCTTAAATATTAAAACTAGGAAAAATACAGTTGTTAAAATGAAGGTATGACATGTTTATCGCACATTAAATCTGCTAAGCCAATTAAGATAAATTAAATGCATTTTATTCCCCTTCTGCATGAGTGTTGCCAATTTTCTTTAGCCCAGTTAGTTGTCAAA